GGCATTTACCCGTTAATGATGAAGTTGAACTGGAGGAAGTCGAAGGGGCTGGAAGAGGGTGTAGCCTTGCACGTGTCCGCGAACAGTTTCACATCCGGGGACGTCGTGTTCACGCTCAGCACGAAATACATCTGGTCACGAATCTTCACGGACACAGGATAGTCCTTTTCGGAGTATGGAGTCGAAAAATTATCGGTTTGGAACTGTTGGATGTCGAACGTCAAGTTCCCTCGACCCTTTTCCTTGAATCTCAATTTCTCTACAACTGGCTTGAAGCTTCCGGTGATCCAGTGGTCCCTTGCATACTTGCACTCAAATGGAATCTCGATCGTGCCGGCCCAAGTGACGACACCACTCATTAGAGAGAGGTAATTGGGCCTGGTAGACACGATGTTGGAATACACAACCGAGGAGTTGGTGAAATTCATGATCGTGCCACAGCCGTGCAGGGGCGCCCTGAACGTGATGAAGGTATGGTTGCCTGTGCCTTGGCAGGAAGGGTCCGCCAACTGGAGCTGGCTCTCGTTAAGACCATGGAATGCTGAACGAAGCAGGTCTAACTGCATGTGTTGGTCGGTGCAGGTTACGTTGACATCGGGAGCTGACGTAGCATAAATGTAGATGTTTAAATTTAATGACATAAAAAGGTACGCCCAGTTAGATAAACATTTTACCATTGTCTTTGTAATTAGTATCTATATCATATTCCAAATATCTCCTATTATTTCTATATATATTCAAGGTACCGTACTTGGCGATGTTAAACAAATTAAAAAAGAAATACTGCAAGCGTTCACTGACATTCACATGTTTTTCCATCTTGCCTCAACACCAGATCCTTCACTGGACACTGACAGTGGCTGTGGTCATTGTAATCTCTATGGACACAGAAATGGCTACAGCCACCGTTATCTACTGTACACTCGTCTCTAACTGAAAGTGAAATAAGAGAAAACTATTAAAGCAATAGTTATCTGAAAAAATAAAGATGAAAAAGATGATAAAATGAATTAAGAAATGACCTAAAGTCAATGCACTTAGCTGGTTGTAATGCACGAATGAATGCCAGCTCTCCTAAATGATCGGCTATGTTCTATTTTTTTTACTTAATATAAAAAAGTATTGCTTTAGCAAATAAGTGATGTTTGTATAACGTCTGAGACAACTTCTATGTATGCAAACCCAAATTTGAAAAAATCCGTCTCAATCAAATCACATATTACATTTATTAATCTGAAAGAAAAAAAAAGAGACTTTATACAAGACTTACTACAGGCGCGCTTGTTACTTCCCACCACAAAGCCCTTCGGACACGAGCAGACGACAGTGAATGTAGAGTTATCCATGGAGCAGTTGTCCGAACATCCACCATTGTTTTCAAGACACAGATTGTGAAACTCTGAAATGGCATAATTGGTAACATTCTCTCTCTCTCTCTCTCTCTCTTTCTCATTGTGGGGCACTGTACGTGTGGATAAAAGCGCGCGATTATTTACATTGGATATTTATCTAAGTTTGTAAACACACTCCCATTACTATACCCTTTAAGGCTTATTTTACTGTGACATACACCCGGTTTTTTTTTTGGGAACAGTCACGTACCGCACGTCCTTTGGTTCTTTCCCAGACGGAAACCTTTTGGACACGAACACACAGCTTTGAATGTAGAGTTATCCATGGAGCAGTTGTCGGAACATCCACCGTTTTTATCAAGACACAGGTTGCGATACTCTGAAATTACATAATTGGCGAACTCTCTCTCTCTCTCTCTCTCTCTCTCTCTCTCTCTCTGTGTGCGTGTGCGTGCGTGTGTATTCGTGAGAATTTTTATTCATAGCCCCATACGCGTTTAACTGGAAATGTTTCTAAGATTGTAAACACATTTCATTATTCTTTCAATGAATTTTCATTTACGACCTATGTTGTAAAGCAAATTACTTACACTTTCACTAATTGCAGATAACAATTAAAACGGAATCAAACGAGTAAAAGGATAGGGAGTTATTGAGTGTAAGTTAAGTTTCATCAAGTGTCAACAAGTGTAGAACATGTTTTTAGTGTCAGAAAAAGATGGAAAAGATCAAAGTCAGTAACAGTTAATGTGATTGGTTAATTTCATAACATATTTTAATTTTGATCAACTGTTTATCACATGATAACTTTTTGGATAAGGTCCAAGCATGAGTAATCCAAATAATATTTTAGATATCTTTAATTGAAAACAAGTATCTTAGGGATTACCTAATAAGGAAATGTTGCATGGTGACTTGCAACATGCGAATGGAAAATTCCTTGTAACCAAGCAAAGACAATGGAAAAGAAAACAAGTAAATGCGTGATCAGTACGGAGAAATTAAGAATAAATATTTGTGCAGTTGTATGAAGAAAGAGTCGTTGAATAAACGTTCGAAAGCTCCAGACCGCTGTCGTTATTTCTAACTATAACACCTAGAAAGTCGATACAACAAACAGGTTTTACAGTGCTTCCGATCTTTTGGAACAGCCACGTACCGCACGTCCTTCGATCCTTTCTAAGAGGAAAACCACTTGGACACGAACACACAGCTGTTAATGTAGTCTTATCCATAGAGCAGAAGTGGGAACATCCACCGTTTTTATCAAGACACATGTTGTGATATTCTAAAATGAAAACATAACACCTTTGAGCCTCAGGTTTACTGCCCTAGCTTAATAATTCTAAATATTCAATTTGTCATTCAGCCTGAACTGCACCTTAAGACAACTTATAATAGTAAATGTATAGACATTGTAACGCTGGTATCATGTAAGCTATATCAACGGATGCGTGTCGCACAAGATGAAAAATACATACTTTGTATGGTTTCATTTTGCATTTTCATATATCTCTACAAATATTCAATTATCATTTAGCCTGCACCTCGACCACTTCACGTGCTAAGCAAATAGATTTTTAGCTATTTCTTCTTAAAGAAACAAAAGTACAATGTAGCTTGATGGTCCAGAATTGCGGCATTACGGCATTTATTGGAGAAATGCATGTGTGACTTCATATGACAAATAGAAATATACCTTTTAATAGACTGGACAATTTTCGTTTTATTCAGTAGAAAAAAAGAAATGCATGTGTGATCGCCGAAAGACCCCCAACATAGCAAATTTGACGCGATTGTTACGAAAAGTAAACTTCGTTTCACTTATGATTTTGAAATGATTGAATGTTTGTTAGCCTTTTAAATCGATAATCTTGTTACTAGTAATAATATTGGTTTATTCATAGAATTTTTGGGACTTAAGTCGCCTGTGAATATACGTTATTACGAAATAAATACTGACAACAAGAATTAAATGCCGATTTTTTACACCTTTCGTTAAATTTAGTAAACCTATTAATGTCACGGCCTATTGGTTTTAAAGGACGACCACCCTGAAATAAACCGCCATACATTTATCTATCATAGCACAGTGTCAAACCGAGTAAAGATTGCCGAGGAAATAAAAGTTACTTTATACAAGGAGTTCTGGAACTCCTTGTTTTTTATAAGCCTCTTTTCAGAATCAGCGTCTAGTCTATAGAGGATAATGTATTCTGTGTTTAGGATTAAAAAATACCGACTGGGCGTAACTACATGTACGTACTGTTTACTTACCATCTAACAGTACTATGTATTGACTTTTCACTAGATATACAAGGGATGCGTATTTTTCTACTATGTAAATTAGGTATGGAATTAGTAACTCAACCGTCCTCTAGTAGTGTTAATTAAATATTTTATCAGACACTCTTCACTATTCCAGCCAGATAATGAGATTAGATTCAATGAGTTCATGATAAAAACACAAGCATCACAGCCAGGCTACATGTACTTATGTGGTAAACAATGCACAGACTCTATATGTGTACCCATTATATCAGGAAATTATAACCACTACTCCTCTCTGTTGACGCGTGAGGCACGTTGTTTTTCCTCGCCCTGATTTACTACAATGAAATGCACTTATTACATAGAAGTAAAGCCTCGTCAAATACATCAGGGTAATCATTCCATTCCAAAATCTTATAAACTTTAGATGATTGCCCACTATCAGAACTAAATATTTATTTTGGTCATTCACGTGCAAAACGATCAATAAGTGTATGCGATGCATTTTGAGACACTTACCACCACAATAAACCAGAAAGCATTTTGGTGCCTTTGGTAAATAGTACACATAGAATCCCGCCGGGCACATCTTCACTTTGACTTGAAATTGCTTATCACAACAGCTATTAAGGTGGCTCATGCATGTCTTTCTACTGACCACGCCATCTCCTATTGTTGGGTGTCTACCGTTCAACCACATGGGAGCATTAGCTCCGCATGTGAAGGGCGGTGGGCACTGTAAATGAGGCAATTTAAAAAGTACAATAAAGAGTTATATGAAAGATACTTAAAAATATGACTTATATTTGCTCATCGGTTATTTTTATTAACATATTTTATACTTTTATACCATCAGTCATATTTATTTGCCTGATATAACAATTTCATTAGTTCTAGCACATTTTCACAAAGACTATGACCAAACAGTTACCAACAATAACCTAATAGTAAATATTCTGCATGTTCAAGACTGAAAAATTGAGATACATGACATGGAATGTGTACACACTGGATATGTCCTTTAACAGCATTACTACCGACTTGACATTTAATATGGAATATTTCACTTTCAAATGTACACCTTGGTAAAAATGCGTTCTTTTTTTTTCAAAAACTAAGATCTCCTTTTAGATATCTGACTGGAGAAGTGTCTTGCCAGGTGTGTCGCTACCAATTATCTGACTACTATGTTTGTTGCACTGCTACGTTGTGTGATATGCAGTAATTTAATTGGGTAGTGCTCCTTTGGGCTGGTCAAAGCTTGGCTTTGGGGAAGCATGGTTCTGCCAAAAAAGTATCCTGCTGCATCTAAGAATTTGAAATTTTGCATGCAAGCGGTCGGTTTTGCAGTGCGTAAAATGAGTTAAGCAGTGTTTTACAAAATTGTTGATCTGTGCCAGAATGGAGCGAAAAAGACATTGTCAGACGTACATGTACTATTGTGTCACACGGAATATTCCGCACAGTTTCATAGAGTTATGCCAAAACTGATGTACCTACACAGAGGCCACGCCCAATGTATCAGAATCTTACCACCAGGGTACAGGACTCACTGTCCTTCTGGATATGCTGCTGCAACTAAACAAATGCCACCTAGTCCGTTCAGAATGAGTGGCAAATTGTCACCAAAACGCGTTTTCGAGGCATTTAACGAACACCATACTGGTTTCACAGTACATTTAACGAACACCATACAGGTTAGGTAAGTAACAAGACGACCTGTGAGTTAGCTTCTGTTAACAGCAAAACAGCGTCGCCTGTTTCTCTAATGAATTGGAGGCCATGGCCGTTTCTGGGTAGAACACTGAAACTGCGTGGCTTGTACTGTCCAACTGGTCAAAACAGAGTATATAGACATCCTAAAAAGGCCTTAGACGAAACGTGTGCTGCTTCTTAAGTGACTAGGGTCATTGACAGCACCAGTATTTGGAGTGATACCACGTTGGTGTCAAAGCACCAATGGTTGTCATCGACAAAAACCTGAACCAGATCAAATAAAGGAATAATCTGGAAACCAATGTGGTATCAATTGATACTGGGCACCTTAGAAACAGTTTTAGGTTGCACGATAGGATCGCCGGTTCACACAGAGCACTTTTAATAGCAGATAACTTACAGAATCAAGGGAATGAGCAGCTACCTTGGTCATCAAAATGACCATTTTGAACCACATAGAAAATATATGGGTGGGTCATTACTCGCCGAATCAATGGTCTACATGTCCTACATGTACAACAAAACTGAACCAAATTGAAGAAGTTTTGACTGTTGTCTGAAATTTTATTCTAGATTAAAATCTAAAAACCTATCCCAAGGAATTCCTTGCCGCTCGAAAGCTCTGGAAGCGGCCAGATGAGGTCAGGCGTAAAAGCGACTGTTGCTGTGACTAGACACTGATATGAGGGTCCTTTGTGGGGCGTGTAACTCTTTTAAAGACGATAGTTTGGAAAATATGGAGATCTAAAATATCGTTTTCGATGGTTGTCGTATGACTTAGAATAGGCAATGTATTTTGTTTTTTTCACTGGCGAATTCAATCAATGAACTGATGTCAAAATGAGAATAAAGAGATTATCAAAAGTTATGTAAACACGACTGTAATCCATATTTTCATTTATCAGTCACCAAAACAGGAAAAAAACTGATTATTTATGATTTGGAAAAATATTCCATATTAAATGTCAAGTCTGTAGTTTACTCTCTTCATCCCCCCCCCCTCTCTCTCTCGCTGTCATTATACTGTATGTGTGTGTGTGTGTTTTGAGTACTTAAGTGTGGTGTGACCAAGTTGAACGTGTAGTGAAAACCGTAATGGTATACTGTCAAGAATTTTGATATAGTCTAGAAAAGGCCAAGCCAGAATTGCCTTTCCTCAGTGTACCTATACTGACCTTGTCTAGCATTCTATTCCCAGCATTGCCTTTGAATCTGAACCACCCGGGGAAGTTATCTCCTTTATCACAACGTCTATTCCCATTTTTATCCTTGTTTTTTGCATTATTCACGCTTCTCCAGTCCTGGTCCAGAACGCCATGAGTCAGACAGGGATCTTTGACAGATTTTTTTTAAAAAATTTGTCAATACATGCCCAGATGGTTACATAAATATATCTCTAAGTCCACGATACTGGGTAACGGCATTGGGACTTGGGCAGCAAAATTTCAACATGGCGTCAATTCTTGCGCACGCTTTCCGCTTAGAATATACATCGTATTTTGCTTTTTATTCCCAAATTTGGAAAATGTAACTTTAAACACATAAAAAAAGAGTACACTTAACTTCGCAGAGTAGGGGAACACAACTTCGCAGAGTAGGGGAACACGCTGCAATCCTGAATCGGCGGTTAAACAGCGACGACATGAAATACTCTCTCGTGAGCACGCTTTCAGCTTATAATATACATCGTATTTTGCTTTAAATTCATAAAACTTGGAAAATGTAACAGTAAACACATAAAAAAGTTATCAGGGAAGAGTACACTAAACTCCACGGAGTTGGGAAAGCTCCCTGTGATCCTAGAATCAGCGTTTAAACAGCGACGGCCTGAAAGCGTTTTTCGTGCATTACACGCCAAAAAGTGTGAACCGGATATCTATAGTTAATTTAATTAGTCTCATTTAATATTCATGTGACCGGGTCATTACGTCATCAATAAAAATCTCCACTGTTTGGCCGAAGCTGAATGGGGAAACGAAACTACACTCTAGCTGTGATTTCGTTGTCATGCCTGTGTGAAGGGACCGAAACAGGATTGGGTCATAACATTTGTGATTACACGCTCAGATGACAGGATTTCCTTATACATTGTTGTTTTACGAAAAGCAGAGCGTATATCAGGTATTTAAAAACCCAAAATTGAACGATTTGTATTGTTCACGTGTATGGTATATGATACCTTGTACTGAAGTTGAAATCAGAAACGAAAGTAATGCAAAACAAACCGCTCTCTTCTCGCATCATAATTTGCGACGCAGAGCAATTTTTGTTTTTCTCTAGTGTGCCTGCCGTGAATGTTCCCTGAGAGGGCAAAAAAACATGATAATACTATTCTGAGAGTTTTCTTTTCCGTAATGCACAGCTGTAAAACAGTCTCACATGTCTGTATCTAAGATTTAAGCGCTGTTTTAGTATTATATTCAGCTAAAAATTAAAAAGTTTTAAATACACAGCGATGTTTGGAAACACACAATTGTTTGTTATATTAAAACAAACCCATCCCTTTTCATATGAAAGCAGTCCCATTGTAATCCAACACATAGGAATTCTTTGACACACTTTCAAAGATGATAACCCATTGTTGTTACCCAGTATCGTGGACGTGAAGATATATATA